ACTGGCCAAGCAGCTCTATAGTCTTTCAAACTCTCATAGCACCTAGTGATCAGGCATTTTACCAGTGAACTAGACTGTCTGGTACACCAGTATACGAATCCTGCCTCCACAAAAGCTGCAAGAAGACGAGCTTCCCTTGCCAGGTAGCTGCTGCAGAATGTGACAGCGACAGCGAGATTAGAGATGAAGGGGAGACACAACATCACCTGATTTCCAATCTGTTCAGCAGCACAAATCAGAGGGCTGAAGCAGACCTGATCAACAGCTGGAGAACCAGAAATGCCGTAGGTAACAAATACTATCAGTAATCAATATTTCAGCCACAGAAATAACAAGCAAAGTACAAGTGACTAAACACTACCACCTTAAACATGCACTGTGTAAGGGCAAGTGTGTTATACATACTGAAAGTGGGGGTTTTTTCTCCCCCCAAAAATACCGCTTCTTTATTTTAAAATGTTCCACAGAGGAACCTTTCACCTCTTTAGTATTCATCCAAAAAGATTGTGAAAGCAGTATTATCTTCATGTTATAAATACAGAAACTGACAAAAAGATCTAAGGAATCTACAAAAAGGAAATAAGTTTATTTTGTCCAGTAGCATTGCAAAAGCCTGCTTTGATAATCCTAAAATAAAAATGGAGAAAAATTAACTTCTTGATAGTGTTACACATTTGAAGCACCTTCATTTTAACAGTGCATTCAGCATCTATCAAATTAAGGTACAAGATAAGAAACTGTAGCCCTTATGTTACAATAATTTGGAAACTGATCTTCAATGCTTACGAATGGCAAAGCTCATTTTTAATCCTACTTTGCATTCAATTGCCCTAATAAATAGCTATTTCACATTATTTATTATTATTATATTTAAGATTTTTTTTTATTATCTACTCTTGCTATTATAAGTCTATATTAGAATTGCTTTTCTGTTTCTTTAAACATGGCTTTTGCTTAAAGCAAACCATAGCAACTGCAAGAAGTTACCTGCAACCCCTAAGCTCAGAGTGAATTGCTCGAGCATTACTAATTTTGAGGTGGGAGGAGTTGAAGAAATGAGGTCTTTTTATATGAAAAGCTTAAAATGACTCATGAAAACTCTTTTGGCATAGCTTATACATGCTTGACAACAACAACATATATAGCACCTTCCATCACTCAAGTGCTGTATAAACTAGTTAGAGTTCAACAATTAAAACCCAAACCCCGCCTTTACGATCAGCAAAATCAACCTCATTTTCATATGACAAGGAGCAGAACTTAAGAAAAACATTGGGCATAACGTGCTATTTCTGAGAGCGGGGAACTGGTTGTTACCAAGTAAAGTTTCCTTATCAGCTCTATAAAGTACCTTACACCTGACATTCAATAAGTAAGTGTTTGAAAAGTATAAGGTACCTGGCATAACAGTCCAGGAGATTTCCAATTGGCCAAAATGTCTGTAAGGGAACAGGTCAACACAATCATATCCACTCACAGTTTCCGACCTTGGCGAAATTTCCAGGCTAGTCACCAGTAATGGTACACTGTCACGGAAGAAAAACTTGATTTTCTTCAGTGCTCAGAAGGAAGAGCCACATACTAATCACAGATGATTGAACTGAAGCTAATAATCTGCTTAAAAGGTCTATTAAAGAGGAACCAAGATCAACAGGCATCTCTGGATCTGAATGTCCGGTCCACCTATCAGTAACTGCACTTAGTAATCACTTTCATAGGCTAATCAAATTACAATTGCTTTTCGCTCTCCAGCACTCTTTTTAGGATATTCCAGAATCTAGCTCCACTAGTGATCTGCTATTTATTTTCACACTACTTGTAGCTAGAGCCACCTTATATATACTACTTTTGCCACCTACAGATCTTCCTTTCTGTCAGTCCTGCTTCCAGCTCTCAAAACCCTGCATCATTTTCTGTCAGCTAAACATTCTTGGTCATCTGCTCAGCACAGCTAGAGAAGTATACTGTATTGAGTGCCATAGTCCTGGCCCCTCGACTTATTATGGAAGAATTCATCTAATAGGGAAGCTAAGGCTGGATCACAGCCAAAGACTCTATAACAGTATTGCTCTTCCTCAAGCTTAGATGTTGAGAAAGGAAGTCCAACAGAAGTAAGATCATATGTAAGCAATGTGCCACATAGTGATGTATCCAAAAAACTATAAAGTATTACAGACTGCACAAACAGCCTGATATATGTCCTGAGAGATGCCAAACACCTGGCTCCACTGCTTTTCTCTGCAATCATTGCAACTTAAAATCAAAAAAGGAAATGCAGAAACTTTCTCAAAGTGCTGCTGGCCTTCCATACTGAAGACAAAGCACCCACAAAGGAAGAGCATCTATCCATCAGATGACACACGAATGAGCTTTCCTTAATTCGAGACTAACTGACATTAGAATTAGCAAGTGAACAGAAGGCTCCATACATTGCTACTGCTTCCACCTACAACCTTTATCTCAGTTCCTCTGCACCCTATACTGACTACCTACCCCACAGTATTGCCTTTGTCTTCTTCTCCCACTCAATTTTCTGCCTCAAACAACTCTCCTCCTTTTATGTACCACATAGAATGCTCTCCCCTTCTTTCAATACTTCCTTACACCAATTCCCTCCAGCTTCTGTGTTCCACTCAGCTCTGTTGGGGAGCTTCCACTGCTATTACCCACGCTGCACAACAGGGGCATTGCTTCAGTTATCACACACCTTGTCATTCAAGAAGACAAGTGTGGGCTTGAAGACCTTCTGTAAAGCACACCTGATGGGGCAACCTGAGATCTCAGACCTTACAGTGAATAGCTGCTCCCTCTTAGCTGTTCATCCAGCAGTGATAACTAATTCTTCAATCCAAAATAAAAGCCCAAAGGGGAATATGCTCACATAAAGAATAGAAATTAATTCTGAAGTCCCTGTGCTCCGGTTTGGAATCATCTGTCAGATGGATTAAGACCAGAAAAATAGCCATTCTTTCACATCAAAGGCAGCAGCATTGTGGGTAATCAAAGAGCAGTCTTGACAGGGATAAGAGTTAATTATGAAATATATCTCAAGACAGGGCTGGCAATTAGCATTTAGTCTGCCACATATAGCACTCTAGAAGTACACACATGGAGCAGCCAGGATGTGCCCTTTTACAGGTGCACGTACCATTCAACCCAGGGTCTTTCCAGCCTGTATGAATCACCTAGCAGCTACTGAAGAATCTCTCTGTTCACCTCAACATCCTGTAAGAAAGAGTTTGAAACATTCTTATTGCAATTTACTCCTGCATGAGAGGATCTCCCTAAACACACAGAAATCTATAGTAAGCATGGAGGTCTTCAGCTACATCAGGTGTGCAGACATTTCAGATCCTTTACAGAAACCTGACCAATCTGAGTTCTTTTTACTTTACTGCTTTGTTTTTGAAGCATGTGCAGTACTTAACATTTCTGAGGCACTTTACGTTTCCAAAGCACTATACAAACACCAGCTGATAAGAGACAGCTAACAAGAATATCCCAAGATACTGAATCTCTGTGTGTAGCAAGGATTTTTATTTTTCCCCCCTAAAATAGGGAAAGTTAAGAATTGAAAGATGCCTAAGAGTGTGCTCTCTGAAGTGTGGAACAGTACCTTCAAGCAGAAGGCATTCTATTTGAGGCTTCCATACGGCCAGTGTGTAGGAAAGACCCAGCTCAGCCTGGCCAAATAGGAATGGATCCAGTTCACTGGTAACTGCCAAGAAGATACCACACACATTGTCAGATGCAATTTCTGTTCACAACAGGCGTCCACATTGTACATGCTCTTCTCCTGAATGGCACTGCACTGCAGCCATGCCTCTAGGGGCTCTGTTCTGAAGAAAACAACCGAAAAGAAATCGCTAATCCCTTAATTAGGGGCACCCACTTCACCTTCTACAGGAATAATTTAGAAAGTCTGAATGGGCCACATGTCACACAAGGCGAAAATTTAGTAACTGAAGGTGACTCAGGTTGTTGGTTCATTTCTCTGTACCTACACTCAGCTGTGCAAAGCTACTGACGGGAAGTACTCAGTGTTAATTGAGAACAGCTTCACAAACCACTCATCACTGCCTTTTTCAAAAGTCATCCTCTCTCAAATTTCTGATGAGAGTTGCATTACACCAGCCAAGCTGCTGATCCTAGGTCTCAAGCACAGCTCCAGGAATACACAATTAGGGCCACGTTCCCTTGAATTTTCATAAACCTCTTGTTTAAGCCACAACAGCTAGGGGATTAACTGTACTTTCCTAGCTGAGCTACTTCACTGCTTGCAAGATAAGAATGGAAGCACACACCATATCCACGAAAGCAGCCTGTTAGGTCTCATCATCCATTCTGCTACCCCCTTCCTCAGACCTCCCACACAATGATGGCATCATAAAACAGTCCTACAAAGCTACGTCCGCTAGATTATGAGAAACAAGTCAAACCCCATTATACTTATCTGTCTTGGGATACCAGTGGCATGAACCAGACTATCTGCCATCAATGCAAAGGTCAGAGTTAAAAGCCTCTCTTCCCTCCCACTGACATTTCTAGGTTGCTCTCTTCAGAAGGAGCTGCACACACTGTTCTACGTGTATACATCTCTTACAGTAAAAAGGAAAGTAAGGTCCACCTCCCTTTACCCAAAAGCCTACCTTCTTTCTACTCACAAATATCTGAGAGAGAAACACTACTGCATAAAACATTACTCCATTTCTCCAATCAGGTGAAGAGGGACTCAGGTAATGAAACATAAAAACAAAGACACTTGGATACCATGGCGATCACGGCCAGACAAGAAAGTAAATTAGCTACCATTATGATAATGACCTGGCTTTCCAAAAGAGGTAGTTTGCATGTAGCAACTAAGGAGCAAAATAAAAATGCTTTAACAGAAATGCTGCCTGCTGTTTAACCCCGTAGCAATGGAGCAAGCAGTCATGGCCACCAAACAGCCACCCACTCTGGGCTTTTCATATTTGACTGTCTCTGCGGATGCAAAGTACCTGACCAGAGCTCCCTCCAGGTGTAATGAAGCCTCACTCTGCATTTCTTCTGGTAGCACAGCAGCTTGTGCACAATCTGAATGCACCGTCTGGAAGAGAGGGCAAAGGATTAATTACATTGCATTTCCCAGCAATTCTACGTCAAACCTGGAAATGTCTCTGAAATCAGCAGCGGGGAAATAGACAAACTCAAAGCTTATCAGAGGAGGATGGGGCTAATGGTTTTGGGCTCCTAAAGGGAAGCAACACCCACCAGAAAGAAGCAGACGAGATGAGAGAAAGGGGCCTGTATGCTAGTTTTAGCTCAACATGATTGGACCCACTACAGATGCAAGTTTGTTGTTTATATTTAATTAATACTTTCCACTCTTTGCTGCCCTTACCTGAGGACCTCATAAGCTCTACAAAAGGAGTTACTTAACTTGCAGGCTCCATATGTATGAGATACTGTGCTCCAATTTTGTAAAATCTGGACACAATGGAGCTTTTCAGTTTCTTTGGCCCAAATGATGAGGCTAAAGGAAATGACAGTCAAACAAACTGCAGGATTTTCAGTTTGACTGAGGCATGCAGCTTAATTATATAAAAAAAGAAAGATTTCTATCAAATTTTCCAGTCTCCTTAAACAAATAATTTAAGTATGAGCTTTGGAATGATCAAGCAATACACCTAAAAGCTCTGAAATCCCCCAACATACAGCTAGTATACTTGTGAAGTCTCCAAATCCTGTAGGTCTCTATAGCATCTAGTGTTTGTGAAAACTCTTAGGTGCACAAACATTCTTCACAAATAACATCAGAACTAAATATACAATATAATGAGTAAATTCTCTAGCACTAACTATCATTAAGGACAAGACAGAAAATATATACAAATTTGAATTTGTTAGACCAAGCTATTTTTAGTTATTGACATTTAGAAAAAACAGAAGGAAGACTTCAAAAAGGAAAAATTCCGTTTTCCCCAAATCCTTATTTCTCAAAAACACATTACCTCGTTAATATCAACATCTCTCTGAAAAGACTTTACTGAAAGACACTACATATCAGACAAACACAGAGAAATCAAATTTAAAAAATCTGCATGGAAGTTATTAAAAATGGGGTGAAGAGTTCAAAATAAGGCTTTAAAAAGCCTTAAGAAATAGTATGCAGAAGGTATACATTATTCTTTTCAGACCCTTAGATGATCCCAAAAATACTGCGATGGGGCAAGGACTTAACTAACTTTAGACAAATAAAGGTAAAACCATTTAATATGATGCTCAGCTATTATAAGTGCTGTAATTTAAATTGGATTCTCATAATTTCAACCAAGAAAAGGAAGCAAACCAGCTAGGATACAGACAGCTGCCGTCGGATCACGAACAGCAATCGCTCTGGGGAGAGACCTGCTATTTCTGATGTTTCTGGTACCAGACAATGCCCAGTACCTTTCCACCCACCTATTTGCTTGGCTGTAAGACTCAAATTGGCCTCTACAAAAAAAACTATTTAAGGCGCTGACCAGAGAGAATCTGGCAATGGCTAAAACTCTTCTTTATAATTACAATAGCTGTTAATGCAAAATACTCTGCAGACATATCTCAGCATTGAAACCTTGTGGTTGTATACAGTAGCATACAGCTTTCTGGGTGAAATCAAGGCATGGAAGAAAAGGGATGAGGAGGGACATAACAGTCCTAGTACCCCTGCCTAAAGAGCCAGAGCACCATCTACCAGCCTAGAGACTCCCAAGCCACTCTGCTTTAGTTACGAAACTGCTTTAGTTATGAAGTTATCCATCCTGGTGGGGGGTGTCTTTGTTTTTTAGCTTTGTGCTGATGATTCATAATATACATAATGGACAAAAAACACCCTTGGTGAAAGCAACCGGGATGTCTCTTTTAAAAATTAGCATGCCCTCCCTTGAGCAGCTTCATACTGTCACCTTTTAAATGTATTGCAGAGAAGTGTAACACTATTTGTGCGTTCACAGAACACCCACTTTGTCTGCAATAACTGCGTCTGCTATGGGATGGTTTCAGACAGGAGTGTAGTGAAAGGACTGCACAAACATGCCAAAATGAATGGATACAGATGTCCACTGATGATTGCTACTGATCATTATTTTTACTCTCACGGGGTTTCTAGATGTGACCTTACTATTTAGCCCAAGCATTTCACACCTTTCTTGTGAAATTCCGATGCACTGTACCCAGCTACAACTAATTCTGTAATAGTCATTAAAAAAAAAACATTTCTCTCAAACTCATAATTGAACTGTACAACCCTTGCAAAGGCACTGTAGTTGCAGGGTTATTTGGACAAAATCAGAACATGCTGAAAAGTTACCTTAAGGGAAAACAGCCTATGTATCTTTATCTCTTCTACAGAATATAGTGCTGTTCAAGCCTTGGGAAAATTCAACATTGTACAAACAGTCAGAGCAAAGCCAATGATCTGCCTAAATCCTGTTTCTGTCCTCCAGGCTAAAGCAGAACAAAGCATTCTAGGGGCCTCCTGGGACACATGGAGTGCTCATGTGTAGCCCTGTCCTCTTCTCTCCTTTTCCATATTGCTAAGTTTTACTCCTTGCTGCCTAGCAGGCTATTTCAGGCTTAAACCTCTCTCCCACACTCCACACTGCCTTCCAGGCCTCACGTCAGTTGTCCTTGGTTTTTCAAAACTGCTTTTTCAGTTTCTAGACCAAGATTCAGCTTCTGGAAGTAGGATTCTTGCGATAACGGTGTATTATGAAACTTCTTTCAGACTGAAAAGCTCTTTGTATTTGATCAAGTAGATTAGGAAATCGGTCTGAAAGGTGGAAATTCATTTCACTTTCAATTTTCTGGCACACAGAGCATTTTAGAAGTAGAAAAAGTTGCTGGAAGGGTTCATGAAAAGCCATCCTGCTCCCCACCAGCCACAAAGTGTTATTTCAGCTAGAAGATTGCTCTATGACTAGAATTCCACCCAAATTCAAACTTCAAACGAAATCACGAGTCACCCCACAGACACTTACACATAGAGATCCATAGGAAATTCTTTCATCATGTGTGTTACAATGAACTCCACCATCAAATCTGACAGAAAAGAAAACGATAAAGTAAGTACTGAGCTAGCTATGGTTAACTTCTAGTAGACAGCAGTGAGGAAGACAAACTACCCCACCTACCTACCTCTACCAGACAATAGTCCTGCTTAGATGAGAGAAGTTTCCCCCTTTTTTTTGTTGTTATTTTAAAGAAAATTAGACATCCTCTGGAATTAAAAAAAAACCTACTGGAAACTGAGGGCATGCAATGTAATTTGCTTTGAGGCACTGCTTCCCCATATGCTTTGCCCCACTATTAGTCAAATAAAGAATACACCATGAATTCTGATGCTTAGAATTGCTCTCATATTTCAAGCCTTGTCACTAATGGAAAATTCCATTGAGAAGCACATTTTAGAAAATCATTCTTACCAGAAACAACACACAAACGCACAACCTAGATGTTTAGAGAGAAGACATTGTAGAGAACACCTGTTTTTCCCTAAAATAGATTCTGAAGCAAGTAAACCTAGTCTGATCTCAACACAGACTAAGCTCTGCTTAAAAGCTCATTTGGGGGGGGTGGGGGGGGGAATGTCTCTAACATTTAAGGGCTCCCAGTGTGAGGATAAGAGGCAAAGAGTACAGAAATACAACTGAAAGAGGTAAGTTACTATGGTTCAGCTAATAAACACTAACCGAATGTGTGTGTGTGCTCTGCCCAACGCAACTTCAGCATAAAATGCTTAACCCATGCTAGTGGTAACAATTGTGAGATGTAACCTCCTAGGGCACTAATAGCCCATCAATATGACTCAACGGTGACTAAAAACAGTCTAGGGAAAGAGTACATAAAAAAATGGTAAGTCTAGAAAGCTTCTTCACGCAGCTGTTGTGTCTTGGCTTCAACAATCACCTGTTTGAAAATGCTGGAGTCTGAGACTGCTTCCATATCATCAGACTTAAGAGTCATTCAGGGATCCAGGCTCCATCCAATTCTGCACCCATTTATGCTTTTGGCCTCCACAGCAATGAATGTCAGAATCTAATCATACACTGCGTGAAAAGCTTTCAACTGAGCCTCCATATCCACATGCAAAACCAACCCTAGCTGCTGATGTTCCTATTGATTTTTTTGCTCAGAAAAGGCTAAATGCCCAGAAAACACCTCCCCCCAACAAATATCTGTCCTTTCTGTAGGTTTGCCCTCATTATATCATCTAGAAAGTACTTGTGACCAACTGTTACTACACTCACCTAAAACTCTGAATTTATTTATCAACTGCTCTCCCTATTGTTACTTATTCAGGTAAAAGGAGGCCAACAGGCTTCTGCAAAACTTACTGTAAACGTATATAGGATTTCTTGCCACAGAGCAGCAATCTTGGATTTAATTTCTCTATGAGGCAGCCAGGTACAGAGATGGACAGTCCATTGCTGGAAGTATCTTTAGTACGTAACTGCCCTCCTTTTAAGCCCATCCACCCCTCCCCTTAATCCACAAATCTCGTATTTCTATTGCAGAACAAAAGATGCTCGAGGAACCACAAGCACACACGTACTCTAACAATACTCACCAAGCACCGCACACACCAGCGGGCGACAGGACAGGTTCTTGTCTGCTGCTTTCTTCCTATGTCTCATTGGCTTCAAACACACAAAGATGAAAAGAAGTCAGTAGAAGCCTGAAGTGACATTCTGTGTATTACTGTATTTTTCATGCAAATAGTACCATCAGCACAGGCTTCCCTTTGTCTTTTTCTCCAACTGCTATCTCACCTATATTAATCCTAAAGGCTGTGGCTGGAGCAAAATTGTGCCTGCTTTTCAGCATGCTGACCACTGGATTTTTGTTTCTCTAAGCTGTGTAACTGGAGGGCACTGTTATATGGCGGGGGGGGG